GCTCCCGCGCTCGGGCCGCCGTGCCCACCTCACCGCCGCGTCCGCCGCCCCCGCCTCCAGTGCCGCGGCGGCTCCTGGGCTTGAGCGCGCAGCCGGGGCAGCCCAGAGACGCTGGGCTCGGGCCTCTCCACCCGCTTCAATTGGGGAGCCTTCTCCCTCGACTCCCAAAGTTTTTGGGTTCGTTAGAATTTCTGGATTCAGGTTTTTTTCCACCTAGGAATTTTTGGGAAATACTTTTGACAAACCGATCGCATTTTCTCTCTGCTAGCTCTCTGTTCCCCTTCTTCTTTTTTTTTCTTTCCCGTGCAGGGGAAAGGGCTTACGAGAGAAGCTCCTGCTGGACAAAGTTTTCCAAAGTTTTCCATGTGTGATGGTTGCGGGGAGAGCAAATCCAACAGCTTGACTCGGCGGCTTCAACCCACTGCCCCTTGAGCAGCCCCTAGGCCCGCTGTAAAAGAACAAACAAACAAACAAACAAAGTTACACCTCGAGGGGCCTTGTGTCTCCTCTCTTCTTTTAGGCGACCCCCCACTCCTGCTCTTCCCTCGCAGCCTCTACTCCCCTGCCCGCGGCCCCTTCCTCTTTCTGCTTCGGCTGGAGGTGCCAGGACCCCCGGCTGCATCCTCCCCTCCCCCGCCGCTCCGCTCGGGTCCGGCCCTCCCCTCCCCCTCCGCGGCCGGCACAGCCAATCCCCCGAGCGGCCGCCAACATGCTCTTTGAAGGCTTGGAGCTGGTGTCGGCGCTGGCCACCCTCGCCGCGTGCCTGGTGTCTGTGACGCTGCTGCTGGCCGTGTCGCAGCAGCTGTGGCAGCTACGCTGGGCTGCCACCCGGGACAAGAGCTGCAAGTTGCCCATCCCGAAGGGCTCCATGGGCTTCCCGCTCATCGGAGAGACCGGCCACTGGCTGCTACAGGTAAGGGCGCTCCCCTCCCCCCATGCCGCGCTCCCGGGTCCGCTAGCTTCGAGCGCTCGGCGGACCCAGCCGAGGGCCTGCCAGAGGACGCCGGGAGCTGCGAGGCACTCGTCCCCGCCCCGCCCCTTCCCTAGCTCTGCCTGCGCCGCCGGGGTTTCTCCTGCCCGCCTGCAGCGTGGCGCGGAGAGCACTGACGCTCAGTGCGCCAGTTGAGAAGGCCGAGGAATGAGGTTCCTGGACCGGACAGGACGCCCCCACAGGCTGCCTGGGTCGGAGCCGACCAAGCAGGAGTGCACCCAAAGCCCAAGGGGATCCTGGCTCTGCGCGAGAACGAAAGGGCATCGGGTTCTGAGCTGCTTTTGCCTGCCCTTGGCGCTCCAGGCCCCAGTCTGCCTCAGCGCCCTGGGGCTTAGCAGCGACGCTGGGTCCCAGAAAAGCTGAGTCCTGAGAGGCCGAATGGCATCAGTGACAGCTTGAGTTGCCCCTGGAGGACGAGGGCTGCACCACTGCCTTGTAGCCAGCTGCGCTGGGTACAACAGCCTTGATCCGCGGTGCTTCCCAGTGTGTGTGTTTTGTGGTGGGAGAGGAAGAAAGTAACCCAAGCAAAATGAGAGGCCCGAGATCCGAGAGCTCCCGGCTTTCGGGGAAAAGGGTTTGTTTATTTATTGGGTGGGGACAGTTAAGGAGGAAAAAGAAACTTGCGAGAGACGTGTGGGAGATCCACAGGGAGTGTATGTGAGTGTCCTTAGATGCCAAACAATCCACTCTGCCGGTGTCGTGGGGGTGGGGCGCGTCGAGGACCAGACCCAGGTAAGTAATGGGGAGATTAACCTGGAGTTAACCTCGTCAAATACTAGACAGTAGCTTTTGCAATTTGATACACAGCAGGAGTTTTTTTTGGGGGGGAGGGAGCACCTATGGGGTAATCGCACAAGGTGTTTGGGTTTTGCTAATGGGCATTAGGGGAAGCCTGCATATCCTGAAACAGACAACCTCCGCACAGGAAAGGTGAGCGTGGAGCATCTGAGGGTTTAAAGGTGTGAAAGCTTGGCTTGAAATTAACAGACGCGTGCAGTCCCTGAGGGCGCGCGCACACGCCCGCCCCTCCCTGCCCAAGGCCAAGTGACAGCCAGCGAGCGGGTCGAGGAAGGGGGCGCGAGGTTCCTCTACCCTGTGCGCTTTCCCTGAGGCGGAGTTTGTCTTTTTGAGGGTGTCCAGTCCAGTGAGGTCGGGTTCACTTCAACCTGCTGGGCTGTCCCTCAGAAAGAAAGCCTCAGAGGCCCTCTGACACAAAGGGTTAACTTAGGTAGTGGTCTAGGCTTTTGATCAAGAATTTAGAAAATAAAATAACTCACGTAGGCAAGGGCTCCTACCTTGTTAGAGCCAATGTGTAGAATTCACACTTGGTCTGTTATCCCTCTCCCCCGCGCCCCATTTTCAGACCTTTCTTTGCCCCCCCATGTCCTTATGACCCCCACCCTTAAAATGGCCTCTGGGGGTCTGCATACAGGCTGCACAGAAGTTGGGGAAGAACCCCGAGCCAGTCATCCTTGGATCCCAGAGCCCTAGATCCTGCGGGGGTAAGAGTGCATTTGGGGGAAGCGTGTAGAGGGTGCCGAAAGGGTTAATGGGAGACTTCAGAATCCCAGCGTTATTTTTTTCGGAGTCATTTATCAGATTTTACGGGGGACCTCCAAGGGTTCTCCGTTTCCACCGAGCGCCATCTAAACAGAGCCCAGGGCTAAAAATACAACATTTTTGTATAAATTGGACTCGCAGCCCGAGCGGCCGCCCCTATGAAAGTCTTCTTTGTGAAGACCGTGGAAACGGCGGACAAATAACTCTTTATTAATGCCACAAAAAACGCACTTTAATTATAGTTAGGTAGATCAGAGGCGGGGGGTTGGGGGCGAGACGGCGGCTACCTCGGAAAATTCACAACCCAACTTTTGTGTCTAAAGAAAAGAAAAACAGAGGAAAAGAAGGAAAGGAGAGGCGAGAGAGTCAGACGGAGCGAAGGACACCTTTTAGCCGACTGAGGAAGGGAGCCCCACTCCGCACCCCCTTCTGTCGTACCCCACCTCCGCCGGGGTTTTTCTTAAAGGGGTAGACGCCGTCTGCAAGGGCGTCGCTACGGGGGGAGCTCTTCCCAACTCTCCAGGTTGGAAGTGGGGCTGCCTTCCCCGCTGCCCGGCCCCCTTCTTGGCGGCTCGGGAGCTCCCGGCTCGTTCCCTGTCGCGCGCCGGGCCGTAGGCTCATGTGGAAAAGTGATTAGGAATCCGGGTTCTGCAGAGTCACTTTTCGCTGGGCTGGGGTGTGTACATATCTAGCTGGAGAACAGTTTTCCGTGGAAGAAAGGAAAATGAGGAGGGGACCAAACCCAGGAAAAAGGGAGCCGCGGTGACCTCTTGGGGGCTGCAGGACCTGGCGGGTGTTTCTGTAGACCCACTGCGCACGTCTGTCCGGCGGTCACGAGGGGAGGTGGACAGGCGGCTGCCCTGACTTTCTCACCTGCAGAAGAAGGGTTAACTTGGGCTGGGGTGGCGAGTGCCGACGTCAAAGGTGTGCGAGACGCCCCAGCTACCACCCCTCCGAGGTGCGCTCCGCCAGCTTCTCCGAGCTCCAGTCCCAGGCTGGGGCCGGGCAATCCTGGGCGCGAGCCGCCGCCGCCGCCGCCGCCGGGGATCCGGTTACCTGCGCGGGTCGCCCCGCCCGATCCCACCCCGCCCGGCAGGAAGCGCCTTCCGCCGCCGCGCTCGGGTTCCAAACTCCAGGGCGGCGACGAAAGTCCGTCTCAGTTATTTCCAGGGCGAAATGCTTTAGGAAAATCTCGGCTCCCGGCCCCTGACCCCACCCTGCAGAGCCCTCCGAGCGCCGCCAGGTCTCTGCGCGGCCACACGGGAGACGGAGGAAACTGCAACCCCCAATTCTAGCGACTGCCTCCGGGCACCGACCGTTCACCCGCTATAAATAATCTTTGGCCTGCGGCCACCCCGCGGGGTCTCGCCAGCCCGTGGCCAGAAGCCTGGAAATATTTATTCCGAAAGACTCCTGAGTGCGCCGTGGGGGTGGGAGGTTGGGAGGGGCGGAGGCCTTGAATCGGATCGGTCGGTCGGGGTACCCTTTCCCCTCCCGAAAGTCATTACTAAAAAAGTCTCCCGGGGGTGCTCCGGGCCTCCAGCCTCCTCGTACATTTATTATCCTCTAGGCCTTACTTCCCCATCCTCGTACACGCTATGAAAAATAAAACCCGCGTGTGCGTGTGTGTGCGCGCGCGCGCGAGCGCGGGGTTGGGGGTGGGGAGGAGATGCCGGGTTCCCGGCTGGGGCCGCACCCCTGCCTGGCAGACCCTCCGCGCGCCCTGAGAGAGGTCTCTGCTGCGGCTCCTGCAGGGTTCCGGCTTCCAGTCGTCGCGGAGGGAGAAGTATGGCAACGTGTTCAAGACACACTTGCTCGGGCGGCCGCTCATCCGAGTGACCGGCGCGGAAAACGTGCGCAAGATCCTCATGGGAGAGCACCACCTCGTGAGCACCGAGTGGCCGCGCAGCACGCGTATGTTGCTTGGGCCCAACACGGTGGCCAACTCCATCGGCGACATCCACCGCAACAAGCGCAAGGTAGGAGTGCTGGCCTTCCGCATCTGCACTCTCCCGAGGTCAGGGGATCCAGGAGCTGGGCAAACGTCCCCACGTAAACCCGCGCTGCTTTGTGCACCCTCCGCAGCCCCCTGCCCCCCGTTTCCTTGCTTAGAAGGCTGCAGGCCCAGATCCAGAGCAGCTCCAGCCTCCTCCAGGTCCCCTTCTCTTGGCCGTCTGCGCAGTGGCACACCCAGGCCAGATGAGAGCTGTTTGGGAGTGTTTTGAGCAAAGCCTGCAAATATGGGGACTGGGCTGTCCGATTCTGATCCTCCCAGTGCCCTACAGAACTGGAAAAGAAGGGTTGGCACGGGACAGTTGGCCCAGGCCCCCCATTTCGCCACATTTCTCTAGGGGAATTCTGAGGACTAATCATTCTAAAAACTAAGCTGGCCTTTCAGCCACAGGTTGCTTTGAGGGCCACGCAGGCACGTGCTGGGGGCATTGGGGGCACCACGTGGACAGGTTAGCGAGCCTTGCCTTGAAGAGGTGTTCGTATGCACCAGCTGGACAGTTGGGCAAAGGCGAGGGGTGGGCGAGCAGCCCAGGCGCGGGCTGAGGATCAAAGCGCAGTTTGCCCCTTAAAGAGGAAGAGAAAGTGGGTGTTTATCCTGTGGATTTCCCGAGCGACTAGAAGAGGCGCGGAGGAGGCGAGCCAGGGAGCGGAGCAGGCTTCCCCGCCCCCTCCAGGCGCTGAGGCAGCCGCGGCTGGGAGCGCGGGCGGCACGTGCTGTTTGAACTGCAGTAACCCGAAAGCTGAGCCTGCCGCGGGCGGGGTGCCGACCTGCGGGCTTGAAGCGGCCAGAGGGAGGCTGCACGGCTTCCCCACTCCGTTTTTCCATTGGGTCAGAGGACTCACCCAGGTTTGGAACCTATGGGAAAGAAGGCAGCGGCCTTCCAGCTCCATGGGGGCCGGGGAGGGGTGCAACTTGGGGCAGAGGAGGAGGTCGGACAGCCTCTCGCTCGGAAGTCTGTGCACGCTGCTGTTGGTGAACGTAGGGAATTTAGCCGTGCTCGCCGAAGCATCCCATAGTATTTGATGCCTATGAAGGGACTTCTTGCTGGCAGACAAAAGAAATCAAGGAAGCGTCTGGTGTGCAGGTCCCCAGAGATCACGTGTTTCAGGACCTGGAAAGGGCCCCCCAAAGCATCTCTTCCATCTGTGTCGCCCAGAGCTGGAAGTAGTTAAAACTGTTTGGGAACAATGGGGAAAGGTGTTCTGGGGAGTGGCTAGGAGGGCCTGTAAGTTTAGTAATAAGGGATTTTCACATATGGATGGTGATTTTCTCTTTAGTCTCTGGGATTCCACCAAAGACCCATTCAAAAGAGTGAAGGAAGAACTGGGAATTAGGAACTCAGCGCCAAATGCCAAATGATAGGACTGGTTCCTCATTCCCAAACCAAAGCTTTGGCTCAGAAGGGGACACTGAGACTTAGACTAAGTGAGATATGGACCAGGCTAAGCAGGAAAGGCTGGGCAGTCTGCAGCAGAAGTGGAGTCCTACTCCATCCTGTGGGTGGAGGGTGTGCTGGGGAGAAGGCAGCTTGGCTAGGACTCCAGTGTTGGGAGGGGGGGAAGCAGCAGGCTCTAGGGTGAGAGACTCTCTTGCCTTGCTGTCTCACCCTCTGCCTCACTGGGCCTCAGGCAGTCAGGTGCCACGTGGAGAGGACCTGTCTGAAGGCCAGGGTTTTTACCTTCATTATCCATTTGGAGGTGAGGGGACTGGGGAGTGGCATTCCAGATGAACAGGGTTAGAGGAATGCAAAGAGCAGGAAGAGCCAGGGAGGAGGAACTGGGTGGGGTGAGGCCCAAAGTTGAGGACTCTGAGGGACCCAGGGTCTCCCTCTCTGAGTTCCAGGTGCCCTCGCTCCTTGGTTGGAGGATCTCCAGAAGCCAGTTCACCTTGATGAGTTTTGTGTTTGCTGTGTGGCATAGGCGTGAGCCACATGAGTAGTGGGTCAAACAACAGAGTCTTTTCCCGCAAATCTCCAAGATGGATGATCCATGATCCTGATTCTGAACTATAGAAGGCCTTGGATTAAATTTAGAGAAGCAGGAAACCCCATTCTCAAGAAGTAGCATGTGGGAGGGCTATACAGAGAATATTCAAGGACATCATTCTGAATATCTTTGTTGTCCTGGAGACACTGGTCAGCCTTCTGGACCCACAGCCTGGAGGGCACCCTGTGGCCAGGGTGGTGGCTGCCGGATACCACGCATACTACCTTAACCAGTCCATGCTGCAGTCAGGGGCCTGGCTGGAGAGTGAGCTGCTGAGCTAGGGCCTGGCCCAGTTAGGATGTGCATGCAGGAAGTGGGGCCCAGGTGTGCTGGGCTGGGGCTGGCAGGGAACTAGAAAGGTCACTGTTTCCATTGGGCCTGATGGCCCACCCCTTCTCTGGGAGGTCTGACCAGATGTGTAGGGAGGGAGCTCCTCGCTTCCATCACTGCTCTTCCAGGTGTTTGCCCTAGCTGCCCTGGTGGTCTGGGGCCAGCATGGGTGGGGCTGCCTGGGAGAAGGCCCCAAAAGTCTCACCCATCCAACAGCATCAACTATGGAAGCCAAGGCCTTTGACTCGCTCCCCCCTGGGCTGGGAAGTAGGCCAGGGTGCCTCTCTGATGTGTGTGGAGAGATGGGGCATTGCCCCAGAAAGGCGCTGGAGTCTGGATGCACATGTGAGAGTAAGAGGGTTGTCAGAAATGTGGAGGAGTTGGAGATAGTTCTGGAAGCCTCTGATGCCCAGTCCTATAAAACAGAATTGGGCATTTTATCATTTTCTTTGCAGATAGGGCTGGCTGGACCTGGGCACCAAGAGCCTAGCGGTTTCAGTACAGTCTCACACTGGTCCTGAGATACCCTCATGGAGCATCTTAGGGATGCATTCAGTCTTAGATTTCCTGAAATGGGAGGACCCACGAGTAGTATTCTTGTCCTTTCTACCCAGCCCCTGTGTAGAGGCCTCTGTGCATGAAGCTGAGGTGGAGGACCCAGTGTTGGAGGTAAAGGAAGTAAACAACCACCTCCTGTCTCACTGACCTGGCCTTTGGGCCTGGGGCTCGAGTAGCAGGGAGGTCAGGCTTGAGCTCAGTGAGCTCACTTCAGAAACCCAGTGCAACCCGGGGGGGTTTATATTGGGTTGGAAAGGTCAGGAGGTGGCTGTGACAGAGCCCGGATGCCCATGTTTGCAGAGGTGGGGATAGCTAGTCCACATCCCCACATCCAGCACCAGACACAATCTCTGGCCCCACAACTCTATTCAGGCTCAGCTTAGCACAGAAACGCCAGCTTGATTTAGATGGGAAGGCAGTGCATGGCCCAGCAGCCTGGCCACTGAGAGCTCTGCTCCAGGTCCTGGCACAGGCACAGAGCCTTTGTTCTGCAAGCTGAAGTCCTTTGCCTAAAAGTTACTGTAGCGCTAGCAGCTAGCAACCACTGCAAGAGCGAGGGTGAGAGGCAGGAGTGGATCTCGCTGAAGGCCAGTGGGGGCGAAAGCTCACAGTCAGCTACCAGAGTGTGTTGGAGTGAGCGCCTCCCTCTTCATGCCCTTGTGCCAGGTAGTGGGAGGGTGAGCAGGCTGGGTATGGGGGCCACCTTCTTCCCTTTTGTGTCTTTCTTCCTGGTGGGGAGGAATGCAGCACTGTGGTGTTGACTGATGTGTTTGTTCACTCTCCCAACCTTGGAAGACACATGTGGCCTTGGTAGGGAGTAGGGAGGCTTAGCTGGGGTCTGCACTGGCCCTGAGCACCCTTTGCCAGCTGCTGTATCCTTTCTGGGTTCTCTGGGCTTGATGAAGAGGCTCCAGGTGCCTGAGACATGCTGAGGACAATCCAGATCAACCAGAATAGCTGGCCTCACTCTAAGAATCAATTGGGCCATGGAGGAAGACCCCTTCAGGACTTGGTTAAATTCAGGGCCTGCTAGGACTGGGAGAGGGCAGCTCCTCAGAGTGGTGGGAGGCAGGGAAACTGCAGGGTGTGGCCAGCTATGCCTGCACTGTGACTTTGGGAAGGCCCTTTCTCTCCTGAGCTTTAGATTTGGGGTGTGTGTGTGTGTGTGTGCGTGTGGGGGTGGGGGTGGTCCCCACATCTCTCCTGGCTCTGCCCACTCCAGAAAAGGGTAAAAGCAACAGGGCAAATCTTTTCCAATTAGAAGCTCAGCAGCCATTTGCAAGTGCTGCCACTTGTTCCTCTGAGTCCACATATTGTGTGTGTGTGTGTGTAAGAGTTAGAACAATGAGGTTAATGATCAGAACTGGAATCAGCTGGGGGCCAGGCACCATGTTCCCCTAAGTTCAGGGAAAGAGTGTGTGCAGGTTGGGGGGGGGATGTCTGGGGCGACCTTTTCCTACCTGAGGCAGCCGAAGAAGGAGGAAACAGCTGGCTCAGAGTGAAGCCAAGTCCCAGTGGAAATGCAGGCAGCCTAAAGGATGACGTTCTTTTGTCCCCCTCCTTGCTTAGTTTAAAGTACACACCTTGGCGTCACCCTGCGTGGAAGGCAGCCTCAGCGGCTGCCTGCCTTCTGTTATTCTTTCCACTCCGCAGGCTGAGGCTCTGGTGGCTTGGCTGGGTGGCCTGCCCGGGTCCCCACCCCTCCTGGGCAGCTGCTTCCATTCCTCCCAGCCTGAGTCACTGGCCAGCTGGGCAGTGGGCTCTCTCCTGGCTCTGCCCACTCCTGTGGCCACCCAGCCACAGCTGACAGTAGGTGGGGAGGAGGTAATCTGGCCACATGGGGCTGTGAGGGTTTACAGAGCAACTGCCTCCCAGGGGCACTGGCCAGAGGTGGGAGGGATGAGAGCCTGGCTGGGACAATTATAGGGAATTTAGGCCTTAACAACCATGATGGTGCCTGAGCTCCATGTGGTAGAATCAGCTTCTGTTAGGTAGGAAGAGAAAGAGTCGGGGTATGGGCTCTTGAGCTTATGCAGTTGGGAAAATGGGTAGGGGTTGGGGGATTATTTGAGGGTCATCCTCCCACCCTGCTGGCTTTTGTCCTTCCCCAAAGCTCCTGCAGGCACCCACAGGCCTCTCACCCTCTCCAGCTCCTTCCCCATGCAATAGCTCTGGTGCCAAGTCCATACCTGTGGCTCCCTCAGAAGGTCTTTGCCTGACTCTGGGCTGGTTCCCATTGACCTTTGTCCAGCATTCTTGGCTCACTTTTGGGAATTCCCAGGGAAGCCCCAGAGGGAAATCAAGCAGCCCTGGCTCATGTGAAGACTGTGGTCAGGGCAGTCAGCTCTGGGGGCCGGAACCCTTCCTCTCTTCACGCCAAGCTGCTCCTGGGTGTCTTCTCCTTGTGCCCGAGTCCTGACCTTTGCAGGCTGTGGCCTCAGAGCCAGCCCGACACAGCCCAGGCCTCCCTCTGCCCTGGCCGGCATCTCCACCTCCGCCTCCGCCTGTCCTTTGTGGTGGGCGGTGGTTTCTGGGCTGCCCCAGTTTGGGAAGTGCCCGTGTTGTTGGGCACAGACCCAGGGATGAAACCTTGGAGTCTCTCAGTGCCTGGGAGGCCTCAGTGCTTGTGGACCAGCTGGGCCTGGACCTGGTGACCTCTGGGCAGAGCCTGCCCAGGCTAGACTGCCTGCCATTCACCTGACTTTGGCTTTGCATTGGGTAGTTCTCCTTCCTTAGGGGCGGTCTGAGAATTAGAATAAGACCTTAGAAAAGGACCTGCGTGAGACCACTGAAGAAACTGAGCCCCAGGGGTAGCCACCTGCAGGCAGTCACTTGGTGAAGCGGAGGTGGGTCCAGATGAGAGCCCTGGGCCTGGCTTTAATTCTTCTTTCAAGTCCTAGTTGGTGTAGGGTGGCAGCAGACTCTCGGTCAAGCTTGAGGCCCTTCTCAACCAAGGATCATGTGTGGATCCCTGCCTTGAAGTCCTTTTTCAGTCCCAGGTCTTCCTGCGTTGTCCCTGCCCTCCTGGGAGTGAGGAGTGATTCAGCCATCTATCACTAGAGGGCGCAAGGAATGTAACGTATGGGGCAGGCAAGGCTGTCAGTGGTCCTGTTTAGCCACTTCTCAGGGTACCAGGAGGCTCCTGGGTGGCCCAGGTGGGGCATGAGTGGGGCCTGGCAGGTTCTTCTCTAGGTGGCTTGAGTATTGCTGTACTGGGCTGCTTGGAAAGGATTAGCTTCTAGCAGGAGCAAGTAGGTATGGGGGTACAGGTGTCCTGTAGGTTTCTCAGAGTCCTAGAGAGCATTTGGTTTAGTCTCACCATTTTACAGATGAGGAAACTGAGGCTCAGGGGTGCTGAGTTGGCTATGGTCATGTAATAAGTTTAACCTTGTTAAAGCTCATGTTTCTGGGCACCTAGTGAGACTGGGCACCTAGTCTCACTTTCCTCACCCAAAACCCCAGCTTTTGACTTTGACTTTGACTTTGGTTAGTGCTGGTGAGTATGACCTTGTCCTGTCCCCTTTCATATTTTTAGGCCCAAGTCTCCCATGTGCTGGGCACCTGGCTGGGCCATCCCCTGCACTTATCCCCCCATGAAGGTGCTCCTAGCATGTGCTGGGCTGGTCAGCTCTGGGCCAGTGTGGCCTCTTGTCCCACTGACATCCTCCCCACAGAGGCCCAGTCACAGCAGAGTCATGCTTCTGCCACTGTCTTATTCGCTGTGTGCCTGCTCAGCTCCCAGTGCCACTTTTTGCTTACCCATGGCCACTTTGCTGTATCGTAAGGGCCTCAGTTGCCAGTTCTGAGCTCCCAGAGCTGCGCCTCCTTCCCCCCACATACCCCCTTGACCAAGGACCAAGCCTGGAATCTTAAGGACTGCAGGGTGAAGAGCCCAGGCACACGACTCTGCCTTTAATCATCACCCCTCACCCCACCTACATTCCCTAAAGCCCCTGGAACTGGGCAAAGTGTGAGTAACCGTCCTGGACCTGAGCTGACTGAGGTGACCTGCTGTCATCCTCCTACCTTTCAGCTTTCCCTTTGTAGCAGGCACGGCCCAGAACAGTGTGGGTCTCTCTGCCGCTTACTGGCCCCCCTTCCCCTCCCTCTGCCCACCGGGAATTTCGGAATGAAAGTGCTATTGTGCATGCCGGCTGGGCCACTGAAGGGCCAGCACTGTTATTTCTGCAAACCAGCCCTCCCATTAGCCATGCAGGGCCCAGGCCAGGAAAATGTTACCTTTTCCTCCTGGAGCTGACTGCAGGGGAAATTCTCACATTTACAGTTTGTGCAGTGGTTGTGTTTAGGGGGCAGGCGCGTGTGTGTGGCTTGCATGTGGCGGGTGGGGGCCCTCTCCTCTGCGTTGACCTGTCCCTCGCCGCCATCCTGGATGACCTTTCCCTTGGTCTCATCTGGGGAGGGCACCGCCCCTTCTGCTCCAGACCCTGGGGAGCTGGAGTTTATTGGTTATGAGGGAGACCCATACGCTGTCAGTAAATAAACTAACATCCTCCGTCACTGAGGGCAACAGCAGGAAAAACATGTGCAGGGGCTGTGAAGAGGGGCTTCCCAGCCAATCCGGAGAGCACAGTCCTGGGAGGTGGACACAGGGACTCCTTGGCTACTTAAGACAGTCCCGGAAGATGCAGGGAATTAAAAGAGCTTCTGTTGATTTTTGTGAACTTTTAGGGTGGGAAGTTATTGCCCCTCTTCCCTTGCCTCCAGACCTGGCCACACCAAAGATATGTTAAAGGCACAGCTGTCAATAAACACAGTCTCTATGCCCAGTGGTTGTTTCACGGAGTGTGAGAACAGTTTTGATCCCCAGGAAGTCCTGCTTGCCACCTAGCCTGAGGACACTTGTGCCCTGTCACTGTTGGAGAAGGGCAGCCCCTCACTGCTTTCCCACTCTTCCCTGTGCTGGCGCCTACCTGTGCCCTACTTCTCCTGCGAACTTCTGGCCCAGTGCCTGGCAGTTGGGTAACGGGCCACTGCAATGGGAAGGGCGGCTTCCGAGCTCCTGCCCCATTCAGCTCCTCTCGGGTCCTGCCAAGGCTGGGTTTGCTGCAGCCTCCCAGACTTGTTGGCAGCTGGACTGTGCAGTCCCCAAGGCTTTGCCATTGTTTGCGGTTCTGCACACTTTTCTGGGGGCTGAAAAAGTAGATGACCGTTCAGGTTACCCTAGGAGTAATGTGGAAGGTACCAGCTTTGAATAAAAATGCTTATGAGCTCTTTTCTATCTAATCTTAGTCTTTGCAGCCTTCCTGCCAGATACACAGTAGAAAGGGAGTTCTCAGTAGAGGACCCTATGGGGCTCCTGTGTCTGGGGGCCTTGGGAGCTCAGTGGAGGGTCACATGGAAGTGTCACTGTCATGATCACGGGGTCTCTGCCTCACCTGGGCAGAGCGGGATCTGAATCAGCCATTCAGCCTGCTTCTCTGCCCTCCAGATCTTCTCAAAGATCTTTAGCCATGAGGCCCTGGAGAGCTACCTGCCCAAGATCCAGCTGGTGATACAGGACACGCTCCGTGCCTGGAGCAGCCAGCCCGAGGCCATCAATGTGTACCAAGAGGCACAGAAACTCACCTTCCGCATGGCCATCCGGGTGCTCCTGGGCTTCAGTATCCCTGAGGAGGACCTTGGGCACCTCTTCGAAGTCTACCAGCAGTTTGTGGAGAATGTCTTCTCCCTGCCTGTTGACTTGCCCTTCAGCGGCTACCGGCGGGTGAGCAACCAGGGCATAGATGGCATCCCAGGGAGGGGTACTGATCCCTGGAACACTGGGCACGCAGGCACATGGACAGAGGGGAAGGTGTCAGTGGGAGTGTGGGCTGGGGCCTGCCCTGGCAGCCCTGAGCTCAGGCGGGAGCCCTGCCTTGCCTCTGGCTATTGGCCCCTTCTCCCTACAGGGCATTCAGGCTCGGCAGACCCTGCAGAAGGGGCTGGAAAAGGCCATCAGGGAGAAGCTGCAGTGCACGCAGGGCAAGGACTACTCAGACGCACTGGACATCCTCATTGAGAGCAGCAAGGAGCACGGGAAGGAGATGACCATGCAGGAGCTGAAGGTGGGGGCTTCTCCAGCAGCGGCACAGGCACTCACAGTTTGTCCTGGGGCTTCCCCGGCTGGGAAAGCACCTGGCCACTCCTACTCATTCTGGTCTGGCCCTACAACTGCTTCTGAGCAGTGATGGCTGGTGCTGCACCTGGGTGGGAGGGTGGTGAACACGGCAGGTCATGTTCTTGCCCCTGCCGAGAGGATGTGCAGGGGGGCACCCTACTCTACCGCACTCATGGGGTGCGCAGGTCCTGATCGTGACTGGGTACCGGGCATCTGATCCGGCTGGCAGTCACATCTACTGTTTTTGAGAAGACACTAAAAATTTTCTTTACACCTCTGAACAGCCTCAGTGTTCGTGGCTTGCTGCCTTATACCCACCCTGAACCTCCTACTCTCCAGGTTCACTAGCTGAGGAAATGCAGGCATAGTGGGGCAGCTACTTGCTGGAGGCCAGACAGCCCCAGAGGACGCTGGGCCCCAACTTGGGCTCCAGCCCCACCCACTCCCAAGTGGCCGCACTGAGAGCTCTCATGTGCCCCCTGCTCACATCTACCTGGGCTGTGGTCACTTGGGCTGCCCGTCCTCAGTCCCCAGGCGAAGTTTCCACTGCCCTGTTTTGGGGATGTTCCACCTGAGGAGGAGCCTGTTAACCCTGCGGAGATGCTACTCGCCCATCCACTCGCTGGGTGCCCACAGACACTGGAGGCTGCCTATCACCAGGGTCTCCAGAGCTTTGTTTGTCCACTTTTCTAGCCCTAGCCCCCCCCCCCCAACCGGGGATTGAACTCAGGGCCTTTCGCTTGCCACGGAAGCGCTTATTCCACTGAGCCATCTCCCCGGCCCTACTAGCCCTAGCTTTTCCCTTGGAAAGCCAGCAAGAGATTAGAATGACCTTGCCATTTCACAAGAAGTTTTGATACCATGGCAAGTGAGGGACCCAGGCCTCTCCATGCACTTTCAGTGTCTACATCTGTAAAATGTAGCACCTGGACTGGGGTGACCTACTAAACCCTTTCCATGACTCAGTGTCCCTCCCAAGAACCCCAGAGGGACCTCTGGGACTACCTCCCTCCAGCCATCTCACTGTAGTCTTCCTACACCCTCATGGCTATGGCTCCAGGCTTTCACCAGCCTCTGCCTGGCCCTCCCACTACCTAACAAGCATCTTTCTCTTGGAGATTGGGACAGCAAGGGATTAAGTCCTGTTATCCAACACACACACACACACACACACACGGCCCAACACCTGGGATTGTCCCTTTTGTGACTCCCGGCACTGATTAGGCCCGCCATCACCTGGTGGTGAATGAGAGGCAGCCCTCCCCTGAGGAACCAGTGCGCTCACACGTGGTCCTGCAGTGTGCTTCTTGCCCAGCAAGGGACTCCCTGAGACCCCTGTGCCCATGTGGGGCCTGGACCTTCAGCACTCCAGGTTCCAGGAAGCAGAACTAGCAGTGAAATGCAGGAAGGGTTTAGCAGATGACCTTAGGAATACTAAGGGCTGTTACATTTAGCTGGCCCCAGGTTGTCAACAGTGCCTCCCCTCTCTGCCGCTGTAGGACGGCACCCTGGAACTGATCTTCGCGGCCTACGCCACCACAGCCAGTGCCAGCACCTCACTCATCATGCAGCTGCTAAAGCACCCAGCTGTGCTGGAGAAGCTGCGGGAGGAGCTGCGGACCCAGGGCATCCTGCACAGCGGTGGCTGCCCCTGTGAGGGCACCCTGCGCCTGGACACGCTCAGCGGGCTGCGCTACCTGGACTGTGTTATCAAGGAGGTCATGCGTCTTTTCACACCCATTTCGGGCGGCTACCGCACTGTGCTGCAGACCTTCGAGCTCGATGTGAGGCTGGGCCCCATAAGGGCTGGGCCTGAGGGGTCCTGGGGTGCTGCCTGAGCTTTGGGATGTCCTGTGGGGAAGATCCCGTGGCACCTCTGTCTGGCAGGGAGGTGGTGGTTGATTGTAGGGACTTTCAGTCCTCTGAGAGATGCAGTCCTGATGTAGAGTGGGCTGAGGCAATCTGGGTGCCACATGTGACATATGTAAATAGGAGTTTAGAGCAGCAGAAGTGGGGAGGTGGCCTGGCCCGGGAACCCCCAAGGCTGTCTCTGGGAAGAGGCAGGAAGGTGGGCAATGCTCTCACCACTCTTCTCCCCACCCCCTTCTTACTCCAGGGTTTCCAGATACCCAAAGGCTGGAGTGTCATGTACAGCATCCGGGATACCCATGACACAGCACCTGTGTTCAAAGACGTGAACGTGTTTGACCCTGACCGCTTCAGTCAGGCACGGAGCGAAGACAAAGATGGCCGCTTCCATTACCTCCCATTCGGCGGTGGTGTCCGGACCTGCCTGGGCAAGCACCTGGCCAAGCTCTTTCTGAAAGTGCTGGCGGTGGAGCTGGCCAGCACCAGCCGCTTTGAGCTGGCCACTCGGACCTTCCCCCGCATCACCTTGGTCCCCGTCCTGCACCCTGTGGATGGCCTCAGTGTCAAATTCTTTGGCCTGGACTCCAACCAGAATAAGATTCTGCCAGAGACCGAAGCCATGCTGAGCGCCACTGTGTAGGGGGGTTCTGGGCCCTACGGCCAGCCTCAGTCAGCCCACAAGGGGAGTGGGGGCAGTGGAGGTAGAAACCTGTGTGTGGGAGGGGCCTGAACCAGGGAGGGCCGGTGGCCCCCATACGTGTCCTGCTCTGGTCCCCCTTCTTGGCAAACCCTACCCAGCACCGAAAGGGCCCTGGCCGTTCTGGGACGGGGCTCCCCTTCTGGCTCCTGCTCTCTCCAGCATCTTCCCACTTCCCACCAGCTTAGCTCTTGGGAAAGGGCCTGGCTTTGCATGCCATTCCAGTGTTATATGTCAGTGGGCTATGCCTGAGTGTGTGCTTGTACCTTCTGACCTGGGCCCTCCCCTCCCCCGTCTTTTAGGTGGCAGTCAGGTGGCCATGCTGGGGCAGGGAGGGAAGTGGCCCCCAACCTTGGCACTTTCTTCAGCGCCCTGGCCCCTCCTGCCACTGCTCAGACAGTGCCCCTGGCGCTGTGGCTGCTGAAGAGCAGTGTCCCAGGTCACCCATCATCAGTCAGCCTGGCTGTGCAGGGGTTTCCGTGGCCCGAAGAGCACCCCTGTCCAGCCCTGCCAGTTTGGACGTTTGAAGTTACCTATTGCTGCTACTTGTTCTCTTCTCTGATCATGGGGCACACTCCCTGGGGGCCCTGGGCAGGTACACTGACATCCCTACCTTCCCCCAAGGTGAGACCCCACTGAGCCTGGCCTTTCCCTGCTCTCCACACCCAGCCAAGGCCCTGGGCTCATGGGAACCTGCACCTCACTAAAATTTCAGCCTGTCGAGGCCTGGAACAGACATCTGCATCTTCCTTGCTTCTGCCTCAGCTGTCCCCCTCCAGGACATCTGGGAACAAAGAGGAAAGGGTTGCTGGCCAATCCTAGCTCCCTTGCCCCATTGGCTGAGGGTTGAGCAGCACTCCCCTCCCCTCCTGGGGGGGGACTCCAGACAGATGATTAGATTGGACCTCAGCCTTGCCACCCAGCTACAATCCAGTGTCTCTGCCTGTTGTCCCCTGCTGGACATGGGAAAGTGGCTCATTTCTCCTCTCCGCCCTGTCAAAAGCCCTGGGGGGGGGGGTTTGGAGGCTGCCATAATTTCCAACCTGGCCACTTTTCACCCCAGCACCCCTGCTCCACTAGTGAGTATAGAGAAGGATACGGGTTCCCTTCTGGTGGGGCTCCAGAGCCCCTGTCTTCCTTTCCTAACCTTGCTCTTTGCCCTTAACCCTTGGAAAGATGTCCTTGAAGTTCCTTCCACCTCTATGCCACTATCTGCTTGAGCCCAGCGCTGGGGTGTGAGGAGGTGAATGCAAAGGGATGGTGGGGTAGAGGCAGGATCCCGGGTGCTGACTCGTGCCTGTGTGGTCTGGAGGCTGCATGGGAGGCTGCCTAGAGCGGAGGAGGCAGGTGTGTGAGGGTTGTCAGAAGTGATCTGGTGGCAGATGGCCCAGTCGGGATGACTGGTTAAAAGAGAAGTAGCTCCCACCACTGATGGTTTGAGAGTTGGCAGTTTGGGACACCTCCTGGGAATGGTTTAGGGCCTTTGGTGTGTCTCTAAGCAGTTTTGTCTGTTTTCAGATTTTTCTTTGCTTTCTATTTCTCTGTTCGTGTTTGAGTTGTAATAGCAATGAATCCTCTTTTTTGTGGTACTGGGGATTGAACTCAGGACCTTGTGCTTGCCGGGCAGGCACTTATGCCACTGAGCTACCTCCCCAGCCCTGAATCTTATCTTCAAGAAAACCCAGAACAGAAAAATGCAGCAAATGGCTATCCCCAGCGACCTGTCTGAAGAGCTCAGTGGGAAAAACCCTCAATAGACCCACTTTTGGTTCTCTGTAGGACAACGTTCAGTCTTTACAGACAGCCCCCATGTGTCCTGTAACCCCCCACTCCCACATACTTCGTTTGTTTTCTACTTTTTATTCCTAAGCAGCAAGTGTGGAACAGGTGTTATTGGCAAAAGTGTTTAAAATTAAAAAAATCTGCAGAATCCCTCAACTCCCCCTGCCACTTCTGAATGATAGGCTAAAATGCGTGAAGACTCATCCAAGCATGCAAAATAGCTGTACAGTACCCCAGAATCTGTTACCCACAAAGAGTCCGGTGTCTGGAAGGTGCAGTTTCCTTACGTTGATCCCATTTGCCCTGAACCAGTTGTCACAGACTGAATAGTTGGGAGGGTCGCATGTCTTGCCCTGGGAAGGGCGGGGGCTGCAAGGTCCTGAGGGGCTTCTGTGGCCTTCTAAGGGGACAGCCTGGGAGGGAGCAGAGAAGGAGAAGTGGAAGGGGACCCCTGTGAAGGATGAAGGAAGGGAGGACTATTTGCCCAGCTGGGTGTAAAGGCAATGAGAAAACAAAAGCTCTTGAGCGGCCACCCTGCTGGGGCCATGCTCCGCCTCTCCTCTGTAGATCTGTGTCGAGGTCTGTGTCCCAGTGTTCATGGTGTGTTCTGTAGAGGTAGCAGTAGATGAATGATCCTTTCTCACTTAACCATTCCTAACTATTGTAACTTGTTATTAAATGAAAGACAAAACCCCACACACTTCCTGCCATGGGCTTGCAGAACGAAGCACTTTTGATGTTGGGCGCTGTTTATGTTCCAGGCACCAGCCTGACCCTGCCTGGATCACTATAATATTATTTTATACACAAAACTTTTGTTTTTCATAAATGTTATAATTTTGTGTCTGTCTTTATAAACTATTATAAGTACTATTTTTGTTATAACTCAAAATAGATATTTAGTATAAAGTTTTTGCTGTTAAATATTTGTTATTTAGTAAAATATGAATTTTTCTCTATTGTAAACATGGTCAAAATATTAATATGTTTTTATCACAATTGTTTTAATATTGAAAAAGCACTTGTGTGTGTTTTGTTTTGATATGAAACTGGTGCCGTGTGAGTTGTTTTTGCTGTCACGTGGTTTTAGTCTGTATATAATATTCCATGTTACATATTAAAAAAATGAATGTTGTGCATTTGTGATTTTGGAAATACTCAATGTGGCTCTTTGATAGGCTTCCATAATAAACCGTGGGGACTCGCCTTTGTCTCTTTGGCCTGTCTGTCTGCCTGCCAGCCTTCCTTGCCACTAATGTTGAGGTCAGCAGCGTCCTGGAAGTGCCTGCCTAGGATGTCTGTTACTTGTGTGCTGGACAGAGGAGTCCGTGGCAGGGTCCGGGAAGGAGCTGGCTTCCCTGGGGCGGAAACAGTGTTATGGGATGGGCTGCGGGGGCGGGAGGACTGACTGTGGTGGTGACAGGTTATGCCATGCATCTCCAGGCTAGAGACAAAGATCCAGAGCTGTGAGAGCCTCTTCCTGGAGCTCATCTCTAAGCAAGGACACTGACGTCCAGGGTCCCTCCGTCCTTCAGTCCAGTACCCCATGCTGGCATTTCTCACAAGTGTTGCAGGATCAAAGAGATCCCATGACCAAATATGTTTGGGAAACAGGCAAAAGCAAGCTAGGCAGGTTCTCGTACCGCAGGAATTCTCAGAGCCTTGAGCCCCAGGATGTGTAGCTTAAATGGTGGTGCACTCTTGGGACACAGGTAGTAACACTCTGCAAGTTTATCTGTGGATCAAAATCTCATGGTCTTTGACCAATCATTATTGATATTCAGAAGCTTGAGGTGGGGGCCAGTGAAGGGTACCACTTCCCTTGCCAAGGCAAGCAGTGCCCACCACAGTTACAAAGACCCAGGGTTTTTTTTGGGGGGGGGGGTGTCAGTGAGAGAGCCTTCCCCCAACCCTGCAGCAAGCTGCATGCTAGGAAGGGAAGGACTGCTCATGTCCTAGCCTCTGCCATGCCCTGGTCACAGCTTGGGGAGGGAAGTCCCATGCCTGAGCTAGCCAGAGAGAAGGCTTTTTGTGACTGTGAAATTGCTTTTGAATATAGTCAGTCAGCCCCAAACTTGGCTCAGAGCACTTTGTCCCAAGCACCAAGCCCTCACCTCACCCAGGTCTCAGAGCCCAGTTCCCCCCCCCCAGCATCTGACGATGTCCCTGGGGGAGTGGGCAGCAGGCCTTGACCTCCTGTGTCTCTGCCTTGTGTTTCTTTCTGCTCCATCCTTCCCTGTCCCCACTGAGACCTAACCCTTACCCCTTACCGTCCCTGGGCTAGGTGGGTGGGAGAATTGGAGGGTTCCCTTATTTTCCATAAAAGAAGAATTAGAGAATAGCAGCAACATTCCTAAGGCCTCACAAAAGTGGACGAAAGACAGTGCCTTAATACATGCCCCCCACCAACCCCCGGGCATGTGCCCAGCCTCAGTGCCCGCTCAGGCCCCAGCATCAGTGAGTATCAGCAGCTTTGGGGACCTGCCAGGGAAAGGCAGCAGCTCCTCAGAGAGTCACTTCCAGCTTTCCTGACAGAACAGCCTGTGGGGCCAGCAGAGGTGAAGGAAGCATGGTCTCTGGGTCACCCTTGGCTTGACCACCCTGTGGCAGAAAAGGCGGATGGGCAGCTGACCCAGTCATGGTCTGTCTGTCCCTGCCTCTCCCCAGTGGGCCCAGCCGGCCAATGATGTCTTCCTGCCTGCCCACCCACCTCCAGGCAGACTTCTGCCCTTGGGACCTCCTGGCCTTGAAGGAGAACACAAGCGGCTGTGGACAAGCAAACACGGACACTGTTTGTCCAAGGACTGGGGCGCCAGTTTGGAGGGAGCTAGGAGACCGCACATTTTTCCACCTCCCAGCACTTTTCCAAAACAGCCTGCCTTGGCTAGGCCTGGCTACCCAAGGTGGCAGGGGGCTGGGAGCCAGGGACAGGGCAGGGAGAAGTGTGGCCTTGAGACCAGCAGGCTGAGGTGACCAGGGCAGGGCAGAGAGAGTGCTCAGTGCTCTGCCAGCTCTGCTCAGCTTCATGTGCCCGGGAGGGGAGGGAGAGAAGAAAAGGAGATGGGGGCAAGATGGAGAAGGGGGAAAGAGGAGAGTGGGACAGAGAGGATGGGACAGATACGATGTGCCTGTTTTGGGAGCAAAAGGAACAGACTTGATTCACCTCAGAGTGCTGGAGTGCTGAGGTCCCATTGCTGGTAGAGGTTCTGGGCACTGAGCATGGCTGAGAAACCTGGTGGAAACAGTAGGCCAGGGCTTTCGCTCAGTTCTCACCTCCCACCCAACTTCTTTACCCCCACCAGTGCCTGGTCTGGCCCAGGGTTTGGCCTCCTTGGCCTCACCAACTCTCTAACTCTGGCCTCCCCCTTGATACTTCGCCCAGTCTCTCCATCGTTGACCTCTCTCTGCAAAGAGGACTCGCTGCTGTCTCCCCTAAGCCCCGGGGTTCTATGACTCTGGTCCTCCTCCCTGATCCCCCATCCTTCACAGATGGTGAGTGACAGGGGAGCCTAGAAAGGTTCCATGGAGTGTGGTGCTGTTACTCCTCCCCGGAGGGAGGCAGACCCTTGCCACGGAGGCACATGAGGCCTTGGTGGCCAGAGCGCTGGTCCACCTGCAGGTGCAGGGGCCCTGAAAGGGGGCATGGGTTGTCTGGAGCACTAAGCAAAAGCCTTTCTTGCCTGGCCTGGCCTGCCTGGCATATGGTATGCATGTACCTGGGGGGGGGGGAGCGGAAGCGAGAGCGAGAGCGAGAGCGAGAGCGAGAGCTTTCCTTTTCACAGCTTCTTCTTCTAGGACTCAGGCTAGAGTCTCTGTGATGCCAATATGATGTAGAAGACATCATGTGCTCCTCAGGGGCTCACTCTGAGACCCTAGAGCAACCTCCCACAAAAACTTCTGTTCCTAGGATTTGAGTCACGTGCCCACCCTGGCCAGAAAGACACTTCCTCTGACTGGTCACCTTGTTGGGTGGCTGGGAGGTGGTGTGTGATTTGCAACCCAAGGCAGAGGTGGCTTGGCAGCATGGAAGTGGACAGGAGGAAGCTCTACACGGCAGTTGCTGCTCTTTGTGTGATAGGATTTGCATTACTAAGATGAAAACTCCTCCATTGAAACAAACCTGATACTGTCTCCCAAGAGCTGACCCCCTTTCTCCTCTCTTTGTCCCTCTCAACTCTGTCCCTTCCCTCCCACCTTTCTCCTCCTTAATAATTAAATAATTAGAGTCACAAATTTAAAAATGTAGAAGAGCCTCTGTGCTCTTCACCAAGTGTCTCCCAAAGACTTCTTACATCCTTGTAGGACAACCTCAAAATTAGGAAATTGACACCACGTATGTGTGTGATTTCAT